AGTTTCCACTCCGTTACAGTTTCAGCTGTTTTCCTAACATTAGTATTAGATTCAGAATCAGACTCATTATTATTTGGCCAAGTTTGTGCACACAAACAAAAAACAAGGAACAAGTTACGCAAAGTCTTAAGAAACTATACAAAGTATTGGTGCCAAACTGAGTTGTGTAATATGTGTATTAATGTAATATATATGCATATGTGTTATGACCTGAATGATGTAAGAGTGGGTCATTTCAGTGTTCATCAGAATGACAGCCTGGGGGAGGAAACTGTCTCTGTGCTTTTTGTAAACAGCGGTCTGTAGCGCCTGCCTGAAGACTGTAGTTTGAACGGTGTATTTCTGGGATGTGAGGCATCTGCAGAGATGTTTTCCGCCTGTTTCTAAACCCTGGACTCTTACAGGTCCTGGATGGAGGGAAGATTCTCTCTGCAGACCTGACTGTCCATTGAAGTCTGGCCCCTAAATAGCTTTCCACTGATAACTACTGTCCCCTTGTGGAACTTTGCCAAAACAATTACAAGTATTTGAATGCCCTGAGGTGCTCAGGCGGAGGTGGGGGAATATCAGTGCTTTACAAGTGCAACTTGTAAAGTTGTCATTCATTTACTCTGAGCTCATATCATCCCCATTCAAATCTAAGTATGAAAATCAATTTTGGTGTGTTATTATCCACCAACTTCCTAAATCCTGTGACTTCCAGAATGAATTCTCTCATCTGTTTTCATATATTGCCAATTTGACCAATTCCCTTTTATCTGTAATTGTGATTTAAACACTTGTGATAGTAAAGTATGGAACCCCTGGATCCGGTTTTTACTCCCATCTTATCCATAACCTCCCTGCATATGTTGTCACGGTCCTGGGCCATTGACCCACTGACCCATTGTCAATGCTGCAGCAGTCTTAAATAAGTGTAGTGTTAGATCAATGACCCATTGTCTTTGCAAGCTCCTTTGACGACCCATTGTTTAGTGTTCTCTGTGCCTCCCTTATGTTTGGCCTCTGTGTTTCTTAGTTGCTCTTTTTCCCCTGTCATGTTTATCCCTTAGTCAAGTCTGCGTCTCAGTGTTACGTTGCCTGTTTTACTTTGAAAATCTGTGTCCTTGGTGAATGTATTGGGTGTTGCTTCCCTTGGGTCTCGTCATGTCTGATTTCTCCCAGTTGTGCTCTCCTTCTGTGTCTCATTCCCCTCGTTATTCCCCGGTGTATTTAAGCCCTGTGTTTTTCTGTGTCAGTGTTGTGTCATCTCTCATGTTGTGTGTTTCTTTGTGTGCCTCTTGGTGAAGTTAAGGTTTTATTCTCCAGCAGTGTTAGGTAAGTTACTTTAAATTAGTAACTTAGTTACATTACTAGTTACTTCTATCAAAAGTAACTCTGTTACTTCAAGTTACTCATTACTTTCAAAGTAACTAGTCACTAGGGAAAGTAACTTTGGTTTTACTCAGAATTCTCTTGTTAATGTGTTGCTTCTGTAACTGGATACCCAGCAAGATTGCCAGTCTTCTAGCTTGCTTACTTGCCACAAGTGCACCGTGCCACCTACCAATAGAAAGGAAAAAAGTAATCTGCATATTTCCACGAGAGAAATCCTACGCCTGGACCATTGTTGACCGCCGCCATGATTCTAGCCTACGTCACAGCGTCATGTGCGCTTTTTATATCCAACACAAACTGCAAGTGTGGTGCTTTCAACTGTACTCAGAACTTGGAAATTCTGCCTTCCGAATAGGAAGATGTAGGTAACACCAGACTGCAGATGAGCTGCATACAGGGTTGGACTGGGACAGAAAAATTGGCCTGGGCATTTTGACAAGAGATCGGCCACCATTATAGGAAAAATCATAAAGCCTTTGAATGAAAACATATGCTGTTGTGACAGTGATGTACACTGTTTTGATGGTATATATGCATCAATCTATCAATCGCTAAACATTTTAAACCAGAATAAGAAAGTAAAGTATTTCTTTGTGCCCCCCTCTCCCTGTTAATGCCCTACCTGGCCCCTGGTAAAACTTTGCTAGATCCGCACAGTTACCAGCTGTCAGCTACAGAAAAAGGATCCTGGTGTTATTTGTCTCTCAGAAACA